CCCTGCTGACCGCCGCCGCGGCCACCCTGCTGGCCGTCTGCGGGGCCGGCTCCTCACAGCTGTACGGAGCAGCCAGCCCCGGTCAGGGCACCGTCCAGGGCTCACTATTAGAGGATAGGCCACGAGGGGACAGTCACCAGAGTCCCGGCCACCCGCTGGCACCGGCTCGGACCCGGAGGTCACCGGACGACCACGGACAGGGCGTGACCTTTGACCTGACCCCGGCGGCCACCGGCTACAACGACAAGTACAACGACAAGTACGGCAGCAAGTACCACAGCGACCACGGCCACGGGGCCGGCCACTACGGCAAAAAGGGCTACAAGGGCGGCAAGTACTACGACTCCGGCCACGGCCACCACGGCAACAAGTACGGCGCCCACGGCAGCGGCAACAAGAAGGGGTACTACGGCGACCACGGCAACAGCCATAACGGCTACAAGGGCGGTCAGAAGTACTACGGAGACAACCACGACAAGTACCACGGCAACAAGGGCCACAAGTACGGCAACAAGGGCTACTACGACAAGGGACACAAGAACAACGGCTACAAGAACATTCACCACAAGGAGGATTATAATGCCAACAAAAAGTTCTACGATAACTATCACGACGACGGCTACCACAACAAGTACAGCGACCATCACGGATACTACGGTGGTAGTGACGGCAAAAAGTACCACGGCGGACACTACAAAAAGGGTCACTACGACGATAAGAAGGGCCATGACGGCTACTACAAGAAGGGCCACGACTATGACAAGTATGGCGGCAGCAAGGGCAAGTACGGTCATGATAGTCATGATGGGTACAAGGGCAACCACGGCAAGTACCACAGCGACAAGTACGAGAAGGGCGACCATCACGGCAGTAAATACGGCGGTGGGTATGGAGGCGGGTATGGTGGGGGACACGGGGGCGGGTATGGTGGGGGACACGGCGGGTATGGTGGGGGACACGGCGGGTATGGTGGGGGACACGGCGGGTATGGTGGGGGACACGGCGGGTATGGTGGGGGAAATGGAGGGTATGGTGGGGGTCATGGGGGCTATGGAGGTGGCTATCACTGATCAGATGTGTTATTAACTATGAACCAATTGTGCAATTCGTGATGCCCTTTTTCCGCTGTCGATTTGCTTTGCAGCTTTACTGCCTTCGCACTGTTGTTAAGCATGTGTTATTTACCTTTTCGTATGCTTCTTGTTCTCATGCATTGTGCTTCAATCTGTAACCTGTTGTTGGATATATGACGGTCTGCTTTCCTCCAGCAGGCCAGAACTTCAATACACATTATAACAGTGATGTGAAACTGACCAACCTCTTTTGCTGGGTAGTTGCGACAGGAAATTGTTACATCCATCAGAAATTTTAATAGAAAATTTAATGGGGAAATATTTATTCAAATTTCAATTTGTTCAGATTTAGTATATAAAACATGATTCTCGGGCACGATCAAAGTCTAACTAAACAAAACCTTGGAATTCCTGTCAAGAATGTTCAATGTGCATGCCTTTTCTTGAAAGGAATGATTATCTCTGGATACTTCTCGAATTAGAACTTTTCGGGTTTCATTGCTGATCTCTAATAGTCGGAGGAAAATCGATATCCGGGAGCGAAACAGTCGGGCGGAGGTCATATAACCTCACATCATAACAATACTAAAATCGCCTTCATTTCCACCCTACTCCATTCGCATTCTATCCCCACTCCATCGCCACTTCATCACCACTTTATGCCTTCTCCATTCCCAATTTACTCCCGCTTGATCTCTGCCTAAATGCGGCACCTCTGCAGATGCTGACTTGTTCTCCTTGGTGTGACATGGCGTGACATTCGAGACTGACAGCAGTGTAGCCGTGTGAAATTCAGTGAAAACTGGAGGCTTTTCCGGCATTCGCGCCCCTGTAGCAATGCTGGCTGAACAAATTTGCTAGTTTCTCTCGATGGAGAATCAACACGCACAGCGTGAGCTGTCACGCCATGCCATGCAAGACATGACTTATGAACGGAGAGTAGTAGAAACGCATGTCGAGAGAACCGGACGTATAACTTATAAGTAGAAGACAGAGAATAGGTACCGGTTTTTCATCAATGACTCAAAACCTAAGTCATAAAAAATATTTATTAACCCGCGCCCCGTTTGGGGAGGGCCGAAACGGCCCTCTTCTCCTTTTCAGTCGATATGTTCCAAAGTATAGCAGATATCGTCACAGAACTTTCAGGAGCCCACTGAGCATCATTTTTACACCTTGTGACCAAAAACAAATTCCAGAGCCCATGATAGGTTGACCGCAAATGACGTCAGAAAGACGTCATATTCTGCCATTTTTGACCCAAAAAATATTTGGTGCTAAGAAGTATCTCGCCTACAGTTTTGGAGAAAGAAAAAAAAACTTTGAAATGAAGAGGTGTAAAATTGTTGGCTAGTTACAAAAATGTCTCGGATGTTTATAATTTTCAGTGGTTGACTCCCAAAACTAAAAAAGTGATTTTTTATATAATACCCCTGAAATACCAAAAATATTTTGCTATTAACATTCAAAATTTGAGCTCGACGCTCCATTTTTTGCAGACTTATGGCGACAAACTAGGTACTCCAAATTTATAATTTGAATTTTTAAATTCAGTATTTAGCCGTTATAGACCACGCAGATTAAAACGAAGATCACCATTGGATTCCCCGTGACGAGCTGCATCGAACTGATACCCATTTTATGCAAAAATATCAAGTTTAAAATTTGACATAATTTGACCTGACCTTAAACCTGACCTTGACCAGAACATAACCTCAACTGAACCCGTCCCAAAGGCTGCCTGCCTGACCCACATAATTGCATTTGTGATGTAAAATGGACCATAAAACATGCATCACATGGTATTTTCATATTTTGACCCTCAGTGACCTGACATTCTGTGACCTGACCTGGTATCAATCAGTGGCCTCAAATAGCAAAATATGTGTTTTATGGACAATGCCCCATCGATGCTTTTCAATGACATGCATTTTACTCGATTTTGCAACGGATTTCTTGAAATGCCTGTAAACGGTGAAAATTCGACATTTGACCTGACCTGTGGGCTGTGACGTTATCGGTTCGACCGAGGCCGATGAAATTGGGTCACAACGTAGTTACCTGTTGGGGCTATCCAATGCCGTTTGCCGCTTGTCGCTATGTTGCGTGGTTCTCGAGATCTTGGGGGAGGGTCAAAATGCCCCCCATCAGACCGCGTTGCTCGGCAGACCCCATCAGAAAGGTGGATCAGAAAGCATATTTTTTAAAATTTCATCCCTAAATATCATGCATATAAAGGCCGCTGTTGAATATCCATGACAGGTTGGACAATGATATAAAAAACAACCAATTAGTACAAATAGCATACCTATGTTGAATACATTTGCTTCATAGAAGCCAACATACCTCATAGCAAAATACATCATCATGACATATAGACGCGCCTGATGAGACGGCAACCGCTAAAACCGGTAGTAATATCACGAGTAGAAGAACCAAATAAAAAAGTGTCGATCGTTTGTCATTCAAAAGTCATCTTCTGTGTTGTTACGGAACAGGAGCCGGATATTAATCGAGGTGCCCCATGAGCTCTGAGATTGTTTGCGCAGGTGGCGAAGGAAATAAGCCCACTGTTCGTTGACACAGATGATAGATTACACCGATAAACAATGAAACATTGGTGGAGGGGTACTAGCCCGGTGAGTGTGAAAGAAAGTGAAGAAAGGCAAATGCATAGAGGAGAGAGGGAGAGAGAGAGAGAGAGAGAGAGAGAGAGAGAGAGAGAGAGAGAGAGAGAGAGAGAGAGAGAGATCACAGCCAGCATGAGATTAAATGACAAACAATTTACAAACAGCAGATGTGGGACGCCTTTTATCGTCACTGGTCAGGTGAGCGGGCCCGCTGAGAGTGTCTTGTGCTCGTCATCGCTGTTTTCATCTCGTCACGGCTGAGTGCGCGGCCACTTGTGCGTGTGCGACGACGAAAATAATTGAAGAGAAACCGCCAAGTGCCCGTGTCAGAGGGATCCACTTACATGGCAAACTACGCACATGTCGTCATATAACACAGTTACAGCGCCAAAAAATATCACAAATCCTGCACCTGTGATTTCCCAAGGGAGATTTCAACCCTCGGCGATTCAACCCTCGGAGATTTGATCGGACCCTTATAACTGTTTGGCCCTTGTCCCTTGATCTAGCCAGAGCTTCGCGAAAAATGAACGTGTTTCCCGCGAGAAGAGGAGACCCATGATACCCAATTTTAAGGTCTAGAGTCATTGGTTGACCTTCTGGTCAGGCCAGTGACTCAAATGTCGGGAAAGGGAAAAAGGCATGCTGGAACTTCTTAAAAGTGATGATTTTATTGTTTTTTTTCAGAGGTCCGATTATTTATCACACCTATTTACTATAGCAAGTCGAATGGTTGACAAAATGTCAGATACGTCGACGCGCAACCGAAAGGCTGTTCAATGAGCCATCGAATGCTTCTTAGCGCCCAATGCGCTATTTTTGTTCATGAGCTACGTAGTCAGATATTGCATTAGTCGAGAAATTCCAAGACTTGCCGTTTGGATCCATTGTTTGCTCCGGTAAATACTCATGTCACTGAAGGTTATCGAAGTCATGTCTTGCAATTTCTCGATTCGAGCATTCGATGGCTCATTGAGCAGACTTTCGAGTTCGGTTACTGTGTCGACATAGTTGACCTTACCTACGCCAACTGCATATGATTCGCAATAGTAAATAGTTTTAATCAATTATTGATTTTTCCAAATACTGTTTTTTACTACAGAAACAAAAAATGTCTCTAAAACTGTTGTGATAAAAATTGCCAAATTGCTATCAAGGGTTCACGTCGAAAAACTGTCAAGTGTTAATTTCAACAAAATCGATAGGTACATCCCTATATACGGCCTTGGGTACATCAATACTTGCAATACGATCTTCGGATATTCATCGGCAATATTCGTCGATAAAGATTCGTTCGTCACTTGTGAAATGACATATATTGTGCAGAGGATGCAAACACGACAAATAAACCATTCTTCTAACTTTTGAGTCTCAATTCAAGGCAGGCATGCTGAAGTTAGACAGCAAAAATAATGTCTGCTTTTGAGGAAGGGAACAAAAACTGCGACTTGCGCGAACACCCAAATTAGAGGCATGACTTGTTGCTGGGAACTGAGAAGTTGCCACGTACGACATAACACAGCACGTCTATCTACTCATGACTCGGGCCCGCCGGTCATCCATGGTGCCTTCGAAAGCACAAGCACAATGACGTCGCGACATTTCAGTTCACAATAATGCTCACACGCAGTGCCTTCGGTTGCCCACAGTCTTCACTGAGCGCACGTCGAAAATGACCCTAATTTTGCAAACATCGTCAATTCCGAACCAAGACAAGGGCGTTACGAGGCCCTGATCCACTGCCAGCTTTAGTTGACCTCGATTTGACAGCCTTGCACTGCGGGCTTCACCGGCCAAAAGACGATCCCTCCCCCTGACTGACCCTGCCGGCTTCTGCAGTGGGCCAGCACTCGTCTAACCAAGCTCGCGAGAATGCTACACCGATTAGCACTGACTATTCAAACACAAACACGGCTGCCAGACCAGGACTGCTCTTCAGATCACGGTCACCACCGTACACGGCTGCTCACACCCAGCAAGGTCCATAACTCCCGGCCAAGCGCGCAGCATCACTAAACCCTCACTGACTCGGTGTGGTGCTGCGGACAACACAAATCGGTAACAAGCTACTGTGACTTCACACCCGGTCCATCCCACCTCCACCGCACACATCAGCCGTTATCCACATGGTCGTCTGAGTGATCACTGTTATCATCTTCATCGTCTTCTTCCTCCTCCTCCTCTTCCTCTGCACTGTGTCCGACGAGGGGAGGCTGCAGCATAACGGCCACGGTGGCCAGGTCGGAGGGGTCCACCAGGTCCAGCGGCCGCTCACCGTCCTCGGTCAGCAAAGTCGGGTCGGCGCCGCTCTCCAGCAGGTACCTGGCGGCGGGGGTGCGGGGTTTGTGGGTAGCACATGTGAGAGGAGACACCAGGTACAGGTCACGGTGAAGTGGGCTGGACGTGATTGTCATTTAGCATCAGTTGCTGAAGCTCAGCGAACTACGAACAGGCAATGACTTTTATAGCCGGTTTATAGCCGGTTTATTTATGTTCATTTATAGCCGGTTTATTAACATTTCTATGGTGTAACACAGAAACTAGCGATATAAAAATCCACATCGACATTTGAAGAATATGATTCATGAGTAGGGAATTGGGGAGAGCTCACAAGTTCGATACAAGGCCAGCCGGCACCCCTTGTCCCTTGTGCACCGACAGCGCCCCCTGGTCCAAGGTGCGCCGACAGCGCCGACTATCACCCTGGCGGCGGCTGAGTAAAGCTCTAGTCACGTACCTGGCCACGTGGTGGTGCCCCATGGAGCAGGCGGCGTGCAGAGGCGTCCAAGAGTCGGTGTCTCGACAGTTGAGGTCTGCTCCGAACCGGGTGAGGATCCTGACCACGGGCAGGTTGCCGTCCAGCGCCGCCTGGTGCAGCGCCGTCAGACCTGGAGGAGGGGAGCATTATTGTCACCATTAGTCACCATAGGTCGCGAGGTCGGCAATGACAGTCGCAGCAGTCAGCACCCATCGGCCATAAGCAATGTTGTCAGCTGACCACCTATTCGTCTGTCTGGTTAAAAGAGCAAGTTTTCTAATCCACTACAAAGCTGAGTGACCGACACATCTACCAGCAAAACCTGATCACTTGACGTTACAGGCTACAGCTACCTTTGCGCCTATTTTACTTCGAAACATCAGCCAACCGGCCACTTTGTGGGCTCAGAACCGTCTTCAGCTCCCATTCACACCTCCTACACCTGGCAGCCACCGGACACGTTCTGCTCCGTGCAATAACATACACGTCTGTGAACCCGTATCACACAGCTCGACAACAACAATTGTTTGATGGTGCCTCACTCTATTTGTATTTTATGTAATTGACGGAACGCATAGTAATTTTATCTCGCGCAAAAACACGCTGATGGAAAATTTGATGTGCAGATTTGGGGAGAATAAAGACAGTCGGTTTTTGGAGAAAGTTAACCGTCTTTTATATTCTATTTATATTTTATATTACAAGCTATTTCGGCATTTTTTCCTTGTATATACGGGTGGTAAAATGGCTCCAAAGAAACGTAAAGCTAACGATGACGAGTATATCGATGCGATCGATGATTATTCCGGCAAGGAAGACGTCGTACGGTGGCTGAACCGAACTGAAATACTGTGCGAGCTGCAGGGCAGTGATATTATGAGGATCCTGCCTCTGAAGTTGAAAGGTGATGCATTCACTGTTTATGCACAGTTGCCAGCGAGAGATCGAACGTCGTACGAGTCGGTGAAGGACGCACTGCAGTCTGCGTTTGCGCCAGATCCCCTTGGGGCGTATGAAGAGTTTGTGGCTAGGAAGCTCAGACCAGGTGAAGCAGTGGATGTTTTCCTGGCAGACCTCCGGCGACTGTCCACACTTTTTGGAGGTGTTTCAGATCGGACCCTTCTGTGCTCTTTTATCTCTGGTCTTCCACTATACGTGCGTGAAGCAATCGGCGCCAGCTATCGAGTGCAGGACCTGAGCATCGAGAGCGCCTTGAGCAGTGCCCGACGGGCCGTGAAGAATGACCCGGCGATGGCAGCCGCGGCGGCAGGAGAGCGCCTCACGCGGGCACAGAGAAACAATCACGAAACGACGGCTGAGCCATCTAGAGCTGCGAGACGTGTGACAAGACGGTGCTGGGTGTGCGGCGAACCCAACCATTTGGCGTCTCGGTGCCCCGTCCGTTCGGGAAACGGCGTGGGAGATGGTGTGTCAGCGCCGGCGTCATCTCCCGCGCAGTGACGGGTGGCGCTCTGCCGGTCGTAGACCTGACTGTTGACGGGCACAGGTGCCGAGCTCTGGTGGATTCTGGCTGCACAGAGAACCTGGTTTACAAGTCTGTGTGTGAGGCGTGGCGGCCTCAGAGAACAGCGGTAACGTCGATGAGTGGAGACCCGTTTTTCTCCAGTGGGGTTGGAACTGTGCAGCTGAGAACGTGTTCCGGGCAGTCGGCGAATGTTTCTGTGCTGGTTCTTGATGACAAACCGATGGGTGTCGAGATGGTACTCGGAGTGCCCGCCATCTCGGCTCTGGGTGGCGTGATGATTGCATCCCCCTCTGATGTCAAGTTCTGTGGGAAGCCGACTACGCCGCCCACTCCACCAGGCCTTGAAGATGAATTGGTGGTGGACACGCCCGATTTCTCAGTACGGTTTGATGCCGACCAACGAGCGTGGACGATGTCGTGGAAGTGGGAAGATGGAGCTGAGCCAGCCAGTCTATCCAGCAGTGTGCCTGAGTATGCCATGTCAGCAGAAGCCAGGCAGGAATTTGAAGCCGAACTTCAGACTTGGATAGACAATGGATGGCTAATTCCATACGATCAGTCCGTCTATGGCCCTCCCCGTGGACTGTTGCCGCTGATGGCTGTGGAGCAGGGCAGTAAGTGCAAGGTGCGACCCTGTCTGGACTACCGTCAGTTGAACAGCCACGTACCTGCGCACACAGCAGAGGCCGACGTCTGCACAGACACGCTGCGGAGGTGGCGCCGCCACGGTAAGAATCTCGCCGTGGTGGATTTGAAGCGAGCTTACCTGCAGATTCGCACAGACCAGCGCCTTTGGCCATTTCAGACCGTGATTGTCGGCGGACGGCGTTATGCGTTGACGAGGGTCGGGTTCGGATTGAACGTGGCCCCGCTGATGATGAAGAAGGTGGTGCAAGCGGTTCTCAGCCAAGACGCCGATGCGGAGCGCGCCACAATACCGTATGTGGACGACCTGTGTGTCGATGAGGACATTGTTACGGCCGATCGTGTAGTGGAGCACTTCTCTAAGTACGGCCTGGAGTGCAAGCCTCCAGAGAGAGTCCAGGACGGAGCACGGCTGCTGGGCCTGCGGGTTGGTGTCGCAGGAGACGGTGATCTCCACTGGACTCGGGATAACGCAGTCGGTGCCCCTCCTGACGTCATGACACGCCGCGCTGTGTTCTCCTGGTGCGGACGTCTGGTGGCGCACATGCCAGTGTGCGGCTGGCTGAGGCCGGCAGCGGCCTGGCTGAAACGTCGAGTCAATGCTGTGACTCACCACTGGGACGATGTTACCGACGATCCAGAGCTGCGCGAGCAGATGATGTACGTGGCTGAGCGGATGGTGAATGATGATCCAGCGCGAGGTCACTGGCACGTCAGTGGAGACAGTGCTGTCGTGTGGACGGACGCCTCCTCTGTGGCGGCGGGAATCGCTCTGGAGACGCAAGATGGAAACATCATCGAAGACGGATGCTGGCTTCGAAAGGATGAGACGACTCACATAAATATGGCAGAGCTCGATGCCGCCCTGCGAGGCATCAATCTAGCTATCGCCTGGGGCATGCGAGTCATCGAGCTGAAAACGGACTCGGCCACTGTTCATCGCTGGCTCGACGATGCATTAAGTAGCCGAGCACGTCTCCGCACTAAGGCCCACGGGGAAATGCTGATACGGCGCCGAGTCGACATAGTCAAGCAGTTGGTGGCCGAATTCAGCCTGCATCTGACAGTGACTCTGGTGAAGTCGGCGGACAACAAAGCGGACTGCCTCAGCCGGGTTCCCGCTCAGTGGCTGCGCGGTCCACTGAACGGAGAGTCCGCTGGGACGTGTGGTGCTGCGGTGAATGCTGAGTGCACCAGCGGTGATGAAGATAGCTCCAGCACGAGTGGTGATGGCGGCGATGGCGTCGGGGCAGATGGGACCGAGGACGAAGAAAGAGGACGGCGAGCAGCGGTTCGCGAGGTGCACACCCGCGCAGGCCATCCTGGAGTACGGAGAACGCTGTTCTTCGCTCGGCGCGAGATTTCTCCGAACATTACGAGGAGAGAGGCGCGTGCTGTCGTGTCCCACTGTGACGCATGTAGGTCTATCGACCCAGCACCAGTTAAGTGGAAGCCTGGGAAGCTGGAGGTGAACGAGTCCTGGACTAGGCTGGCGATTGACGTTACGCACCACCAGCGCAGTCTGTACCTGTCGGTGGTCGACTGCGGTCCTTCGAGGTTCAGTTTGTGGAGATTGCTTCGAAGGGCAGATTCAGCGCACGTCATTGAAGAGCTGCATCGAATTTTCAATGAACGTGGAGCTCCAGAAGAGATCCTGGCGGATAATGATACCGCCTTTCGCAGTCGGGCGTTTGCAGTGTTCGCGGCAAAGTGGAAAATTCGGCTGAGGTTCCGCGCCGTCTACCGCCCAAGTGGAAATGGTGTGGTAGAGAGGAATCATCGGACCGTGAAGGTCATAGCCGCAAGAACAGGGTGCACCGTTGGCGATGCCGTGCATCTTTACAACGTAACACCTCAGGACGGACAGAGCTCGGCTACGACACCAGCCGGACAGATCTACCGGTACTCGGTCAGGGACAGCGTGAGGACAGTCACTGGCACTGGTGGTGATCCATCGGACGGCAGCGGTCCGGAGGGCACGGACAGCGCCTACACTGTCGGGGACGCCGTGTGGGTCCGACAGCCTGGATCACGCTGTGGTGATAGGTCGCAGCCGGGTGTTGTTACCAGGGTGCCGTCACTTCATATTGTGGAAGTGGACGGGACCCCATGGCACGTTGGTGATGTTCGGCACCGCAGTGAGAGTGACCCTTGAAGGTCAGGGGGTGGTGTTTGATGGTGCCTCACTCTATTTGTATTTTATGTAATTGACGGAACGCATAGTAATTTTATCTCGCGCAAAAACACGCTGATGGAAAATTTGATGTGCAGATTTGGGGAGAATAAAGACAGTCGGTTTTTGGAGAAAGTTAACCGTCTTTTATATTCTATTTATATTTTATATTACAACAATACAGCATCGTATGGCTGGCGTATCCAATTATGATGCGGTGGCTCATGGATGGATCTCGCGCGAGCAATGAGTCAGGAGCGGAACGATTTAGCGAGCTGAGGCGACGAGCACGCGCTGAATGAGTTCTGCGTGCTCAGCGGTTTAGCACGATGTGCTTCCGTGAAGATTAGATCATCGACAGGGTGTCAGTGATGAGTGAGGTGATAGTTACACGCTCGTAATCGGGATCTGTTTTATTTCCATGGATTCGAGCACTGAGTGGGTGAGAGGTCGGTTCGAACCGTTTCGAGATTGGCATTCGATTCTGAAGACAATGGTCTATGGCGTCGGAAGCATTCTCGTTACTCGCATTACGGAGTTGTAGCGTAAAACACAGTGTGTCCGAATACGAGGATAAATAACAACACATTGAATATTAGTGTGCACTCGTATTTAGTGAAGGTACGGTAGCGTAAAGGTGTACGATAAATGTTTGTGTCTTATTTCTGCAGCATAGCGTGCGCAAGAGAGGGCGATTCGGGTCTCATGTCTATGCAATTAGCGGTATGAATTATATGCGTGCAACATGCTCTACCACTGCTGATTCCATGAACGTCGGAACACATAGTAAATGAATAGATCTCATGTTATCAATACCTACTGGTGT